TCTATAAAATGCATTGCTGTTCTGTTGTAAGTGATCTTAAAGATTCCTAAATGCATCTACTTTCGGTAGTGCTTTCACTTTCACCTAGAAACACACAGCGTCTCCCTGACATGCTGCTTCAACACTAACTGCGGTTACTGAAACCACGCCTTCTTTCTTTGCGTGCACATTTGGGCGGCATTATGCAAATATTTCCACATAGTGAGGTAGATATGTGGGGGCGTGTTAGAACGAGCCATTTTAGGGGGGCGTGGCAGAGTCTTAACTTTGATAAAGAATATCTCTTTGGTTTTGAGACTTTAGTCTTTGCAACTTCAGGGATCTTATCTATGCACAATCAGCTTGTAACACTCCAAAGAGAAAGGAAAACTTGAAATCGCATCATATGACCCCTTTAATGAGCAAACAAACGGTTCCCACTGCAGTGCTATTTTTTACAACTTCTATTCTCCACCAATAGAGGGCGCCACTTAAAACATAATTTGTCATGCTCATCATACAGGATTAGTCTAAACTGATGAATCACATCAGGCTTTAGAACATTTTGTTCTCGTCCTCTGCTAATATTTTAAAATAATTTGATGTATGAGGAGAGAAATTCTGAGATTTTTTAGCATATGAGACAAGTTTGCAAAGTTTAACAAACTTAAGTTTGCTAAAATGTTATGTTTGAATGCAAACAAGGTTTTATCTAATTAAATATGCATTACATTTCCAAAGCATAAATCTGAAAATTGGTTTTTAAAGAATGGATATCTCATTTTTATCACATTATTTTTATGTCAACAGCCAGAAAAAAGAAAAAAAATGTGTTATTAGGAATAAAATGTTATATAAAATCAGGCAAATATATATGAAAAAACAGCTTTTATATAAAAATTAAACAACATATTTATTCTGACCCGTACGCATTACAATAAATAAAAGATAATGTCATCATACTGAATTGTATTAGCTGACAAATAGGAAAATCCTAGTGCTTTGAAGGATAGTGGAAAAGATTAGTAAAGATTTAAAATTATAATTAAATAGTAACTTCAGTGTGATCCTGATTTAATGTCATGTAATGATTCTTGTTCTAAAATATGCCTGACAAGATTTTTTGGTATATAAACTATTGTTACACTTAATGAAAGTTTACTGGGTGTCGTCTGTAAATCATGGTAAACATGTATGATAGTCATTTTATTTTTTTGCTTAGAAAAAAGTAACATTAAACAGGAAACATTCTAACACATGGAAAAAAATGTAAGCTGTATTAAACTATTATTTTGATACTTGAACCCCTTTAAAGTTGACCCATAAATCTTCAGAATATAAATAAGAAATAAAATTGTAAAGTTTGGTGAATGTAAGCACTACTGAAGTGGAGATGGCTCAGTACATGAGTCCAGCTGTAGAAGATCAGATTTACTTTTAAATATGGCAGATTTGTCTTTCTTTTTTATGCATTTAGAGTATCCTTTTTTAGTTTAAGTGCTTGTCTCATTGTTGTCTCTCTCTCTTTCGTTGTCTTGTGATGAATGGTGCTTTGGCAGCGAGCCTATCAGCAGAGCGCAGGGTCAGTTCAGCCAAAGACATCACAGAGACACAAGCAGAGAGAGGAATGGCAAATAAAGAGAGTCTGACCTGGTATATGTGGTTGAGTTTGAAGTGTTTGAGCAGCAGTAGCAGGAGAGCTGCAATCGCTTTGACGATAATCTCCTTGTGTCTGTTCACATCAATGCCCAGCTTCATGCTCTGGAGGACGGTGATTCTGTTCCAAATACAAACACGGGAAATTGTTGCTGTGCATCTAAAACAAAGCGCACTGCTCTTTTCATGCGACATGCACACATCAAACGCAGTGTCTCTGCTGTATGTGCATTTGTGCGTAGACTTACGGCATCTCCTCCGGCAGAACGTCAGCTAGGATGTTGATAGAGTCTGTCTTTGCTTTGGAGGTTGGAGCTGCAGCCAGAAGCAGCTTCAGTAGAGCAATCTACAAAGAGACTAACATTAGTGCAACATTCCTACCAGGTTTGTCTGGAGAGTTGCATGCATTAACCACTACACCATTACCAGATGTAATGCATAATCCAATATTGGGAAGCATATAATTTTTTCAGAGCAGTTTCACGATTATGTCTTGCATAGAACCTTCTGATACCTCCATCACAAGTATTAAATGCATGTTTTTGGCCAAAAATATAATTTTATGCCAGCATGAATTTGCAATGTTTTAAAATTATTAATGTTAGCATTTAGAATTAAGGCAGGACACCCCAGGTTAATACGGCAAGTAAAAAAACCTACGAGATACATTTCCCAAGTTGATTGATTACATATATGCAAATGAGAGACTGTCTAAGTAAATATATGCACTCATTTGCATAGATTTCCAGAACAGAAACCTGAATATTGCATAAAGCCAGGTTCAAAATTCTTGTTTCATTTTGTTGACACATTAAAGTCAGATATTTACAGAGGGGAGTTCTCTTTTTGTCATTACTCACTACATAAAGCAGAACATATTAGTTACTTTAGTATCTTTGTGATACTATTTTTGTACTAGTTTTTATTAATATTTTGAAATTTTTATACTTTACATTTTAATTTTCAATTTAGTTAACATTTTAGTAATCTTGTTGTGTTTTGTCATTTTTAGTATTTTTTTTAAAAATATGTCTATATAGTCTTTATTTTAGTACAACAAGTTTAACTAAATTAAAATGAGAAATGTTACTTTGGCAACTAACTGAAATATTTTTTTACATTTTAGCTAACACTTATTTTATTCAAGTAATTAACTTTTTTATCGTAGTTTCAGTTTTAGTTAATTATAATAACCCTGGTTAATAGTCCGAAAAAATGTTTATTGGGAATAAAATATTTTTGGAGAAAACGGCCTTTAGTTTAATTTAGTACTGTAACTGAAATCTACAGATGCAAACAGATACATTTCAATAAATTAAACACTTAAAATTGTATTTTGGAGGTTTTCTTTCCACTCGTCTGAAACAACATGTTTTGAAAAGCCAAACGGTCCAAAATTGGCCAGTGCATCAAAAAAAACAAAAAAAAACAGTTTTTGCCTATAGTGTTTTGCTGCGAAATATTTTCAGAAAGAAATAATACAACTATTCTTCTGGAAAGCTTGAGCTATATTCACAAGTATCTGAGTGTGTAAAAAGATGAAGACACTTACTACATACTGAGAGAGACTAGGCAACATTCCCAAATATAGAATCTCTGCAGGTGTTTCCTCCACCTCCTCCTCCCCCTGGCCAATCAAAAGAGGCGATTCTGACTGACAGCTTAATGAACCAGTAATACACGCAGAAGAACAGCAAAACTGAGTCACTTACCATAGTCATGGGACACTGCTGCAGCTCCTCCTCTCTCTTGATCTGGACCTCCGCTATGGAGACATACTTGTGCTTGAGAGAGAAGGGGTGAGAGAGAGAGAATTGCCATGGTGAACGAGGACGGATATCTAAACTGTGATTGGCTGAAAGAGCCCCAATAGAGCATGCATTAGACCACAGGATTCACGTCAATGCATATCTGTGGCTCAACAGCAGGTGAATCTGACAGATATACAGTATTATCCACTTATTGAGTATCAATAAAAGGGGGGACTAATGGTTAGAGAGTCGGACTCATAACCCAAAGGCTGTGGGTTCGAGTCTCGTACCGGCAGGGATTGTCGGTGGGGGGAGTGAATGTACAGCGCTCTCTTCCACCTTCAATACCACGACTGAGGTGCCCTTGAGCAAGGCACCGAACCCCCAACTGCTCCCCGGGCGCCGCAGCATAAATGGCTGCCCACTGCTCCGGGTGTGTGTTCACGGTTTGTGTGTGTTCACTGCTGTGTGTGTGCACTTTGGATGGGTAAATGCAGAGCACTAATTCCAAGTATGGGTCACCATACTTGGCCACATGTCACTTCACTTTCACTTAAAAGGGAAAAACATTTAAAGCATGAGAGAATGCTTTAGCATTTAGTATTCATGCATATGATGTTTGAATATGTTTTGTTACTCATCCAGCTGTCTAGAAGAAAACTAGAATATTAGAAAACAAAAATGTTTCCATGCTTACCTGTTTCAAAGTCTTTACACTCTCATGTATGGGCCTGGGTAGCCCAACCAAAGTGTCAGTGTCACTGTAAAGCAGCATTAGAATGAAAGAATATACAGTGTGAACCAGAGACAGCAGTGCGTTTATTGATTTAATGATAATGAAGGTGACCTGTATTATCATTTATCATAGATTCAGAACATCAGTAGCTGAGTTTTAGCCCGGGAGAATTGATCAGAGACTCACTTTCCCAAGGTAAAGCCGATAAATTTATTTCTGCTGGTCTCCAGAAAGTGCTCGATGTCTTTCTCTCTGTGGGAGGAAAAGGGGAATTACTTTTTTAACAACATGATAAGTTGGCTCGGACATAAACAGACTTATTTTAGCCTTTTCTCAGTTTAGGACAGGACTGCTACCAACATACAGCTGCTTAAACTTATCAAAAACAGCAGCATAAATGTGTCCCTTCATCGTTTTTGGACTAACCTCTTTAAACTGCTGCAACACCCCCTCCCTCACCTGCATGCAGCAGTGGAGCTCAGCACAGTGTTACAATTCACAGGTAAAGAAGCCACAGAGGTAAATACTGTACTGCGTGGCTCTTTGAATTATCAAGAGGATTTGATCAAATGTGAATGTCACAGCTTTCGCTGTTGCAAATTCATCTCTTTTTCTTCCTCTGTGTTTCTCCCTGTTCATTTGTCTCTGCCTATAAATATGCATTATTTATGTCGGAGGTTCTGCAGTCCTAAAATCAGCCTGTTTCCAGCACAGGAGCTGTAGAAGATTTTTGTAGGCAGTTAGACAGGTCACTACAAGTTTGGGGTCAGCATGATTTTTTTTTTTTTTAAGAAATTAATATTCAGCAAGGATGCATTAAGTGGACAAAAAAGACATTTGGAATGTTTAAAAAAAAATTAACTTTCTATTTATCAAAGAATCCTGAAAAAAGATTAATCGTGGTTTTCACAAAAACATTAAGCAGAACAACTGTTTGCAACGTTGTTAGTACCACCAAATCAGCATATTAGAATGATTTCTGAAGGATCATGTGACACTGAAGACTGGAGTAATGATGCTGAAAATTCAGCTTTGCATCACAGAAATGAATTACATTTTCAAATATATTAAAATCGAAAACAGCTATTTTAAGTTGGAATAATGTCACAATATTCCTGTATTTACTGTATTTTTAATTACATAAATGCAGCCTTGATGAGCATATGAGACTTACCGACTCCAAACGTTATTGCCTCCCTGAGCTTTATTTACAAAAAATTGCTTGTACTGATTGCAAAACAACAAATCTCTGAAAACAAGTCAGAGTCAAATTAGTACAGTTTATGGGCATCACATTTGATGAAGACCTTGTTCGCTACCTGACTTTGGGAGCCCATGGCAGTCCCTTGGGGAAGGACACTCTCTCCGTTGGCGGCCGCAGTGGTGGTGGTGGTGGTGGCGGTTGGATAATAACATCTCTGTCGAGAGGGTCGACCTCTCCCTCGATGCCACTGTCCACATCCTCTGGGTCATCTTCCTCATCCCGTGCATCATCGTTTTTGAAAGGGTCCCGTTCGTTGTAAGTGTCTAGGCTGTCCTGCTTGACCAGGGGCTGCAAGAGAGGGAGAAAGAGTTTAAGATCAAGTTGCAAATGTATATATTACTCTGGACCCTGATACGGAGTCTCATTAAGAAAGACCAAATTCATAATTAAAGTGATAGTTCACCCAAAAACGAACATTCTGTCATCATTTACTCATCCTCATGCTGTTCCAAACCTATATGTTGGTAACCAAACAGCTGCTGGTAGCCATTGACTTACATAGTATAGAAAACAAATATTATGGAAGTCAATGGATACCAACTGTTTGGTTACCAACATTCTTCAAAATATCTTTTTGCATTCAACAGCAGAAAGAAATTCATGGAGGTTCGGAACAACTTGAGGATGAGTAAATGATGATTTATTTTTGTGTGGACTATCCCTTTAAGATTTTAAAATATCATTTATATGGTGTGAATGAGATTTGGTTTTATTCTTTCATTTTTTCTGAACAGACCAAATTGAAACTTTTTTGAATGAACAAGACTCATATCAGGGTTTAGTTTTTTTCCCCCCACACATTCTTCTGGTATTTTAGCCTTCAGATTATTTTCCCCATCCAATGCTTAAGAGCTTATCGCTGAAACTTACCGTTCTATAAACCTGCAAATGATAAGCATCACAAAAACTTTCAATCCAATTTTGGGGACTCACACATTCCAGATACAACACCGCAGCTCCTTTTTTAACATTCCTATGCAGATTCAGTTCAACAAAAGGCACAAAAAAAACAAGTTCTTCACATCCCTAGTGTTGTGCAAACACATGAATGGCAAGATTCAGAGCAAGCATCAGGCATGAGGTGCATTAGTGGAGCGTCATCGTTTGTTCCAGTGCAGTCAATGTATGAGTGTGTCTGTGGACAGTACCATGAGCAGAGGTGACTCAGCTGTGATTGGTTGCCTATGAGAAGAAGCCATTCTGCTAGCTAGTTGGAGCCAGAGTGTGTCTATGTGGGTCTCGTTGACTGAGAATATGTGGAAAGATGTGCAAATGGAAAGATAAGAGGAGATAGAGAGTCTTGCTAATGTCCATGGTCAGCTGTATCTCTCAGAACCCTTCCCCAAATCAAGTTTCAAAGGAAAAACAAATTGCTGTGAAGGAAAAGAGAGTGGAGGAGTGCAAGGCCAGCCCACAACAAAGATAATGCATAAAAGGGGTTTGGGGTAAAGACCTGTTTCTTGGCATATGGACTGTCTCCTTCCAAGCTATCAACAAAGGCACTCTGTAGGGACACAAGGAAGAGACGGGGATGAGCCAACAGGAAAACCAAAACCCAGAGAAAAAAGGGCAGAGAAGAGGGAGAGTTGAGGAGAAAGTGTTACAGAAAACTTATAGAGACAGAGTGAGACAGGAAGGAGAAAGGTCAAAAACCTGCTGTGATTGGTCCACAATGTTGACTGGCCAATCGGTGCTCTGCTGCATTTCACTCTCATTGTGACATCACCGTTGCAATGTTCGGTTGTCTTTAAGGACAAAAGTGTGTCATATAGTCCCTTTTGTGTGTTTATTTTAAAGCTTGTGCAAGTTTTGCAGGCTGGGTGGGCTGTCATATTCATATAACACCGCCCTGCATCATATTCACTGAATGAAATCCAACACTGTTGCATACTAATTTTGGGCTGTTGATTTCAAAAATAGTGGCGGTTTCGCTACAAAACTACAAAATCTGATGCATTTCGTAGCATCTTTCAACAACCATTTATAAGGTGTAGAAGTCTTGTATTATCCCTTAATAACCAGAAAAACTGCCACAAAAACATGATTCCTCTCGTCCTCTGAGCCAGGTTACAACTATTTTTCGATTTTCACATGTTTGAATGATTCTGAAGATATTACTACCACTTATCCTGTAGCAGATTGTAAATTAAATAACACATTTTGAATACTACTTTTTATCATTAAAACTTTTGAATGTTTTTTATTTTATTTTGAGAAGTGCATTAAAGCTGATACATATACACTGCCATTCAAAGTTTGGGAACAGTAAGATTTTTAATGTTTTTTTTAAAATAAGTTTCTTATGCTCATCAAGACTACATTTATTTGATCAAGAATACAGAAAAAAAAACAGCAAATATGTAAAATATTACTGCAATTTAAAATAACGTTTTTCTATTTTAATATACTTGCACATTTATTCCTTATATTATTATATTCCTGTGATGCGATTACTCCAGTCATCAGTGTCACATGACCCTTCAGAAATCATTCTAATATGCTGATATTTTTTGGAACCTGTGAGTTTTTCAGGATTCTTTGATGAATAAAAAGTTTAAAAAAGCAGCATTTATTTACAACAGAAATATTTTGTAGCAATATACACTACAGTTCAAAAGTCTGGGGTTAGTACATTTTTTTCTTTCTTTTTTTGAAAGAAATTAATACTTTTATTCAACAAGAATGTGTTAAATTGATAAAAGGTGACAGTAAAGACTTAAATAGAAAATATTTCTATTTTGAATAAATGTTGTTCTTTTTAACTTTTTATACATCAAAGAATCCTGAAAAAAAGTATCACAAGCTCCAAAAAATCTTAAGCAGCAAATATTAAGCAGCGATAATAAATCAGCATATTGGATGATTTCTGAAGGATCATGTGACGCTGTATACTGGAGTAATGATACTGAAAATTCAGCTTTGCATCACAGATTTTTGCATATTTCAAAGTATGTTAAAATAGAAAAACATTATTTTAAATTGTAATAACATTTGGCAATATTACTGTTTTTTCAGTATTTTTGATCAAATAAATGTAGCTTTGATGAGCATAAGAGACTTTTTTAAAAAAAACATTAAAAATCTTACTGAATGGCAGTGATTATATAAAAATAGCCTATAATCTGAAAAATCTTTATTCTTATTTTGTGGGGAAAAAAACTGTACATTGAAAGTTTTGTTGATATTTTTTAACTCAGCATCAAATTGAATTAATTTTTCAAGATGCAGGGCTGTGTAATAGGTAGCACAGATCAGATTTTTTTGTGTGCATGCTTTGTATTTCATACACTGAGTGTATAGGTTTATACGCATGAGAGGTTGTGTGTTCTCATACTGGCACAGTTCATGTATTTCTTCTACACGTGGTTTCTGCTAGTGCAACTGCAACTGCTTTGAAAGTCATTTGCATGAGTGTTTCTCATACCCGACGACTCCTGCGTCCTCTCTTCTGCTGCTGCTGTTGCTCGATGAGCTCCATGGCCGAGGCAGGAGGAGATGCGGCCCGCATGTTTCGCACCACCTTAATGCTGTCCTCAGGGAGCGGTGGCAGGCTCAAAAGTTCTCTCATTCTCACCTTCATCTCCTGCAGCTCCTCGAAACCTCCCAGAGTGAACTGAGGTGCACAAACATGCAGAAATCAATGGACAGAGTACTATAGGCACATAAATAGCTGCCTGATTTACAGTTGAAAGAGCCCATGATAAACACAGTGTTTAAATTCTGAAATATCCAAAAAGGCCTCTCTTTATCTGGTAGAATACAATCAGCAGCAATTATTCTATGGAATGAAATGTAGCATAATGAAAGAAAATAGAATATAATTAAATCTTCAATCAATCCTGAATAAAACTTTGGGGTTGGCAAGATTTAAAAAAAAATGTTTTAATGTCTTATGCATTTATTTGATTAAAAATACATTAAAAACTGCAATATTGTGAAATATTATTAGAATTTAAAATAACTGTTTGTATTTCAATATATTAAAAAAATAAAATTTTTGTAAAATGTAATACATCTTACTGAACCCACGCTTTTTAACAGTAGTGTAGAATAGAATAGAAGTGATTGTATTGTATGGAATGAAAGAGAAAAGAATGACAGTACAGAAGTTTAATTCAAGGAATACATTTCCATACATTGATTTATTTGTGGTGGCCCGCCACAATATCAACACTGACCGCCACAAATAGATTTTCCAAAAGGCTTTGACTTCGTTGAATAAACATGAGCACTGTACATTTCAAAATCACAACGCGGCACGGACGTTTTTATATAAATGTATCTTTTTTTGAAGGGAACCGATTGTCTTCAGAAAACTTTTGTCATCATTTAATGTTTCCTTTAATGCCTGATAAAGTAGAGTTTGTGAGCGCAGCACTGTTTTGATTACAGCAGTTACCGGGGGAAACCGCTGTTTCTGCCGCTCTTAAAGCGCCTCCTGCTGGCAGAGAATGAATTTGCACTTTCAATAAGCCCGTCTGCTATTTAATATTTACATTATATACATATATATTTCTCCCAGGGGGAAGTGCCGCCACACATAGAGTGTAGTAACACTGAAATCTGTATATGAAATTGAATGGATTAAAATATAATATTATGTAGTATAACAGAATAGCATAGAATAAGCTGTCAATTATCTGTGGAATAGAATAGAATAGAATACAAATATGGAACAGGCTAGAATCAAAATTACTTATCTAAAATGAAGCATATGTGATTCTGATGATTGTATATTGAGACTGACCAGTATGGTCTTCCACAGTAAGAGCAGCACTTTCTTCATTGGGAAATGGGGCGCATTCATGCTGCAGAACTTGGTTACCATGGTGAAGAGGAGGAGGGCAAAGGGCTCTCCGTTATAAAGGGGTGAACCTGAGAGGAGGAGGGAGGTTAATCACTGTGCCATAGAGAAGGTCAACAGCCAACCACTGCAAATACACACACACACACACACACTATACTCTGTATCTGTAAAGACTAAAGGACACACAGCAGCTCTCTCACAGTCTCTCACCCAACTCTGTTTTGAAGGCCTCTCTGGCTGCCTTCCTCTCAGGACTGTCACCCTCCATTTCCACACGAATGGTCTCAACCATCAGATACATGATGCTCAGAAGAACCCTTCAGGACATAATGCAAACGCCTTTACTTCCAATCTGACTGATTGTGTGTGTGTGTGTGTGTGTGTTATATACAGTATATAGAATTTTCTATCAGAGAAAAAAAAAACTAAATTAGTCCCAGTGGGCATCTTACCTGAGTTCAGTGCTGTCTGCCAGAGAAATGGCTGGTTTTCTCACCGCACTGCTGCATGCCTGGTTATTACTGGAGAAAAAAGGAAAAATACTAACTCAAAATATAAATACATCTGTGTCAAAGGACCAGGGGTATCACAGTTAACCAAAACTAAAACCATAAAAAAAAAACTTAATGTTATCTGAAATTAAATAAAATATTTAAACCAAATTTTATTTCAGGTAGTTGGTAAGGCAAAATTTGTCATTTTAATTTAGTTTAACTTGATGTACTAAAATAATGGAAACACTTTACAATAAGGTCCCATTAGTTAATGCATTAACTAACAGTTTTTATTCATCTTTGTTAATGTTAGTTAATAAAAATACAGCTGTTCATTGGTATTTCACATTAGCTCAGATCCATTAAATAATATGAACATACAACTTTTGATTGAATAATGTATTAATAAATTAATTAATATAATTATTAATATAAACTAAGATTTATTTTAAAGTATTTTCTATTCTTAGTTTAAGCAATGAAGTTACCTAATGTTAACAAAAAGAAACTAATTGTAAAAAATAACTACAACTAAAACTTAAATAAAAATTAATAAAAACTGCACAGACCTATTTATTTAAAAATCCCAAAACTAATTAAAATGACAAAAACAAGATTACTAAAACTTTAACTAAAATTAAAATGAAAACAGAAAAATAAATAATTCTAGAATAAATCTAATTCAAAATACTGATAAAAAAATAATAATAATAATATGGTAATGATACTAAAATAACACTGTAAAAGACTCATTGCAACCAGCCAACTTTTATCATTCCACAAAATACAATACAAATTAGTTTTTGAGGGGGAAACAAGCCATGCAGTCCAATCCCTTGTATTCAGTACAAATACTAGCGTGTAAACCAAAACCCTGATCATTTGAATCAGATGTGCTCAGCTGAATATGAATCAATACTCAGAGAAGCTGGAGGGCTAATTGTGCAAATTACGCCACAGTAAACCACAGAAGAGGCAGAGAGGCAGCAGTACGGTCTCCCTGAGAGCAGTTCTGTTGTGTGAGTGGATGAGACCATGTACAAAGACATTAAATCCCCCAGGCAGGGGCTTGAAAGAGGAGAGGCATGGTGGCCAGGCAGATCACAGACAGACCACTCTGTGGCTCTTTTTAACACAAGAGTGTGGGAGCAAATGGAGAGAGAGAGAGGGTGCTGATGCAGGAAATAAAGAATGGCCTAATTATGGAGAGATGACAGCAGGTACGAGATGGATACACAAAAGAACTGGGCCTTTTTGATCTTGCTTTTAAAGTATGGTGCTTATATTACCTTCATAAGAATATGATGAAGTAAAATACAATGTTTCATTTATTAAATGTTAACTGTATTTTCTGGAATATATGTCACTTTTTTTTAATGTGCTGTGATTTCTATTCCACAGTGACATATAATCCTGAGTCCAAAGTCCAAAGAGATTATATAATGCAATTAATGTCAAGCACACAAAATAATAATACGATGAACCGAAATATAATGTTTCATATATTAAATGCAAACTATTATATTTTCTGGAATAAATGTCATGTTTTTTTAATCATCTACAACTGCAACTAATATTCCAAAGTGACTTATATAATGTTGACTAATATCATGTTTTGCATGCTTCACATTAATATAATTAACGTGAAGCATGCAAAACGTGCAGCATTTATTTTAATAACGCATTTCCCACACACCAGTAGTTTCAGTTTGGCTTTTCAGTTTTGTTGTTTGTAATAAATGTTGTTTATAATGAATACTATATTCATTATTATAGTTAAATAAATCTAAAACCATAAAAAAATCTGTTACTTTAAATAAAATAAATGTTAACCGAAGTAAAATAAAATATTTTTAAAAATACTTTTTTTATTTCAGCTAGTTGTCAAGGAAACATTTCTCATTTTCATTTTATTTTAAAATTTAACTTGATGTACAAAAAAGTTAAACTTAAATAAAAATGAATACCAAAAAAATATATATACAAAAATGAAAAAAAAAAAAATAGAATTAAAATAATAGCAAAAATATTAAAATCTATAACAGCATATACTGAATACTGAATGCCACAATAATTTATGTTTGTTTTATACTTTGTTTGTCATTCCTGTTCTGCTCTATATACAGTTACATTGAAAGGATTTGTTGTGTAGTGAGGAGAACTAAAATACATGTTTATAGAACATTTTGATAATTTTAAATTTTTTTCTGAATGTAATAATAAAATGTGACTTACGCCAATGCAATGTTTTTTCTCTTAACAACACAATTTTGACCTGGTGTGACTTATAGTCAGGTACGACTAATTTTCTGGAAAATACGCCAGGCTTTCACATTTTCTTAATTGCACTTACCCATGCAGAAGTTGCTACCACAATCCTAGGGTATAATGAATGATTGCCAGGCCATTGCTACGTGGTTGCTAATGTGTTCGGAGTAGTTTTTGCACATTAATTTTTATGTTGGTACAGTATGTGCAATAATAAGAGTGATATCTGATTTCACTGATATCACTCCCTGAATAGAATAAAAATACCTCTTAACATGAAAGTGTACTTAATGAGGGTAATTAAAGAAATGGAGAAGTGGCTCGCTGTGCCGCCTAGGCAGCTGCTACCGTACACACCGGGCATTAAGAAACAGAAAAGAGAAAGCCGTTTGTCTCATTAGTACAGCACCCAGGAGATCCACAGAAATACACAACTGTTTCACACACACACACACACACACAGCCATGACTGAGCCGTTTCTAACCTGCTCCCTCAGGAGAAGGAGAATAAAAATAGCAGCACTGTTAAACAGTAGAGATTCAGTCTCTGCCCGTCTTTTCAGTATCTCACCCTTCGCCTGTCTGTCCTCGCCCTGCAGCAGATGGTCTGCCCTCAGTCAAAGATCTCCACACAGAGACTGAGGCATTTTGGGAAATGAAAACACTCACTCTATTTCCATGCTGAGGAGCTCCAGCAGAGCCGTGAAGATACCCATGTCGTAGAGGAGGAAGACGTTGTGTCGGGACCAGTAGAGGACATCAGTTTCTGTGTCGCACTCATCAAACACACCTGAACACACATACGTAAGAAAAAAGAAGAAATTATATTTTGCTTAAGAAAACACTATTTTAAGGATTTTTTACAATTATTTTCATGTCAATTCAGCATGTTTATGTCCAAATTCTCATGACCATAATGCTCAATGATTCATATTTTATTTTTATTAAATATATAATTTTTTTTTTTTTTTACTAAAAACAAATATTGCCATACATTGTTTTTAATAAAATTTAAATATGCATAAAAGCAGTACTACAAATTAATTAAATTAAAAAAATGACAAAATTCAGACATTTTCATGCCAATTATTAAAGTCCAAAAGTACATTTAAAAACACTCAATAATGATTCTCATTTTTGCAATAGTCATACTTTATTGTTTTATATATTTCTATCTTTTTAAAATATTTTAAAATGCATACATTTGCATAAATTATGGGCAGTTCTAAAAATGTAATCACAAATTAAATAATACATCATTATTAAAGTAGTGAGAACTAGGAGAAATGCGTTTAATAATTATCAAAATATAATAAATTATAGATATGTACTCAAAAAATAAATACATTGAAATTGCAAAATAATGATCCTAAAACAGATTTAATTTCACAATATATTTGGTTACTTTTTTATTTCTTGATTTGGGGTGAAATATGACATGCTGTCGACTGGTTTCATGAGTTTCACCCATTGCATTTTGGTTGTATGTATTATATTCATACCTTGTGCCAAATAGAGGATGGCTCGGGCTACTTTGAGTCTCTTGTCTCGATCGGTGACCTCCAGAGCATCCAGCAGTCTCATGACATATGCCCTCTGTTCCTCCATACTCAACTCCATCCACCTCCGGCCCTTCACTGAGAGCAGAGCACAGAAGAATTATATCTCTTAATCATTCCTGCCATTCTTCTACCACCTCCCATTCTGACATGTGAGAAAGATTAGTCCGGATTTGTGTTGCTCAAATACCCATGAGAGGGGTGGCACACATCAAAACACTCGTTCACTTCAGTGACCTCTCTTCTCTTTCAGTCAAAAATGTTATTCAACCACATATACAAGTGGGGGACTGAATGCAAATTACTGTACAAACCTCCCTCTGAAAATTGGTAAAACATTTGCCTCAAGTCTTTTCAGTGGAAGGCTTGTGTAAAATTAAAGCACTGAGGTCGTTCATCTGACACTGAAGGCTTCACAGTGGAATTCTGATGGGACTGATGCGTTTTATTAAAGTCACATCAGGAGGAATCAAAATTTCCTTGATTTTATGAGATCTAAGATTCTGAAACATTTGCTTGCATACATTTCTCATCTCAGATGTGAAGAGGTTACATATTCGTCTTTAAAGGAATCGTTCATCCTAAAATGAAAATTTGCTCACTCTCAGGCCATCAAATATGTAAATGAGTCCGTTTCTTCATCGGAACAGATTTGGAGAAATTTAGCATTTCATCACTTGCTCACCAATGGATCCTCTGCAGTGAATGGGTGCCGTCAGAATGAGAGTCTAAACAGCTGATAAAAACATCACAATAATCCACAAGTAATCCACACCACTCCAGTCCATCACTTAACATCTTGTGAAACGAAAAGCTGTGTGCTTGTAAGAAACAAATCCATCATTAAGGAGTTTTAACTTTAAACCGTTGCTTCTGTCCAAAATGGCCAAAGTCCAGAAATCATTATAATGCTTCTTAAAGTGAAAAAGTCCACCCTCTGTTGTCCAAATCCACCCCCGTATTTGTTTAGAACTGTTTTTGCCTGTAAATGTTGCTTGATCTGTGAATATTTCTCTTCTGATTCACACAAGACAACTTTTTCACTGGAGACAGCAATATTATGGATAAATGACTCTTATTTATTGATTTGAAGTTAAAGATTCTTAATGATGAATTTATTACAAATATGCTGCTTTTCACACCACAAAATGCTAATTGATGGACTGGAGTGGTGTGGATTACTGTGATGTTTTTATCAGCTGTTTGGACTCTCATTCTGACGTCACCCATTCACTGCAGAGGATCCATTGGTGAGCAAGTGTTGTAATGCTACATTTCTCTAAATCTGTTCTGATGAAACAAATAAACTCATCTACATCTTGGATGGCCTGAGGGTGAGTACATTTTAAGCCAATTTTCCTTTTTGGGTGTATTATTCCTTTAAGGCGCGGCAGCATAAAATCTGAGTGTCTGAGAGAGAGTGGAAAATTGCAATGTTACATTATAAGTGGACACAAGGGGAAAATTATAAAAAAAATATGAGCCCTTTGGATGGCAGAAAACTTTTAAAAGTGTAAACGTGTCTGGTAAGAGACTCCTTCAACACATAATTTGCAGTTGCTTCACAATCAACACAGATGTACAGCACACATGAGCACGCTAAAGCTAACATGGTGATCCAGCCTCTTGGATTTCTTCCATTTTGTAGGGCTGCAGTGCCATGGCAGACACACAGAGAGAGATGGAGAGGGCTGGTGAGGTGAGACTGTGCACACAGCAGGCAGGGTAAAGCCTGAGGCTATACACACAAACACACACACACTGTAACTGCATAAACATTCATTAAAGTTCTCCTTTTCTCACGGAGAGAGAACAGTGCAACTTTGCTGATGGTTTATTTCTGTTCTCTCTCAGACACAGGTGGAAATGTTCAGTTAATCAGCCGTCTCTCTGTTTCAGCACGTCCATGCCACTAGGACTCCAAGCTATTCCTCACTTTTAAACAATGCAATTCTAGCACAAAACCCTCTGAGTAAGTGTGTTGTGTGAAGATGCACTGCAAATAAAGATATTTTGTCTTGTTTTCTAGTAATATATATATTACTAGAAAACAAGACAAAATATCTTTCATATCATATGATATATGATGGGCAGTTATATATAAACATGCTTAAAATTAATTTTGGAAGCAAAACTGTGTAGGATCACAACACTTGCTCTTAGAGTATATATCAAGTATTTTGCATTTTAGAATTTGTTTTTTCTTACTTTTTATTTTCTTTTTCAAATTTTCTCTCATTTTTAAATTTAATTTAGAATTGGTAATTTGTATACTATACATTATAAAATAGTATGTGACATTAGGATTAATGCATCTCCAATTATAGTACACACTAAATAGCATGTCTAGGGTGACTTGATGCTGTATTTTTTTGTGGATTTTGTAAGTTTGCACCTGTACATGCTTTTTGGGACAATGCTGCCTACAAACTTGGGAGATGAAGAGTTTGTAACTGTACTCTGCTCACATTTTCCATATATTAAAAAATATATTTTAACAATAAAATGTAAAAAGGTAATTATTTTAGAAAATGCAGTATGCATGGTCTGTAGTTCGCTCCACCGTAAATTTTACATTGTTAGTAATATTTCAAGATGAATATGAAGCAACTTGGGTTTACTTGATTATCCATACACCATTTTTTTTTAATCATGTTTAAATATGAACTGAACAAGAGTTGCATGCCTTTCTATCCTATGAAACAAACTGGACTAATCTGTAAATCTGTAAAGCTCAAAACCGCGCATGCACAATGTGCCCTGTGCCAGCACGGAGCTAATGGACCAAATGCCAAAAGATCCAGTCAATATTCACCATTTAATATTCATAACTCATTTAATGCAGCCAGATGCAATAATTCATCACCAATATTACCATGCTCATACCATAAGACCAAGCACAGAGCTTTAGATCCAGCATATTCTGGTTTAATGACAGATCACTCACATATATGACCTTTGAGTTTCACTCCTCGTAATAACTCCAGCCATGCACATCATTTTGAGGCATTTTGTGTACATTCAAACCACCTCCCCATCACCGTCAAAAAAAAATCTGCTGCAGGAGTAAAACACGCTCGAATTCCTCAAACAAACAAAAAAAACATTTAATATGCTTAACGATCATGGACAAGGAATTCATTACCATAACTTCACTAGGCTGGATGTATTCACAGCACAATATGTGTTACTGTCCTTGAACCTTGAAGATTGAATCTGGGCTGTGCTGTGCCAAGAAGAGAATCAAATATGCATTTGCTAGTTTTATTTTTAATGACTGAATAAATAATAAGTTCATATGGGAGAGAGCAATGATTGCATTATAGTGTGCACTGTGCAGTCTTTACCACTCCAATTCAGTTCATTCATAGATAGATAAATAGATACAGACAGATTTTCTTTTCAAAAATTCACCAACAGATTGTATATTACAAATAAATTCAACTCCAGGTGATAGATAGATAGATAGACAGACAGACAACTGCTTCTTTTAAATAAATGTATATGAAAATAAATAAATAAATCTGCAGCAGATTGTATATTATTGACCCCTTAACTCCCAATATAACAATATATATTCCATAACATCAGGCTAATATCAAGCTTATTAAATAACTGGTTTACATTACATATTATAATGCATAGGAATTTGTGCCCACTGACATTTGAGGGGTTAATGTGAGGAATACACATGTAGGCCTACTGTAAATGAAATGAGCCAAATGCATACATGCTCAGCATTTTATATGCGCATGTGCATATATCCATATACTGTGCAAGAAGTGGGAATTTAAGACAGAAACAAATGCATCCTTCATATTTACCCTTCAAATGCATGCACATGAAACGCATGTCTATATCCTCTATAACACCATCAGCCGGTCACACTGGATCAAATTCCTAAAGAGAAGGTATTTTTAGCGCCATGCATGTTTCTAAAATAACAACTCGAGGCATTTAAAGCCCCCAGCAACAAGCCACCTTACACACACACGCCCCTCTACCCCTGCAAACTGTCAGTGCGCTCGGATTACCTCCGAATCCTTCTGCGGATGGCTGAACCCATCCCTCTCTTGAGCCAGAGACTTCTGTCTGTTACTGTTAGAATCATTAAGTAAAGGTACCTCCATGTCGTCGGTCTGCTGCTGCATCTGTCAGGCTGAGGAGCTGCTCGCCGCACGGAAATACACTGTCACACTGGAACAGACGCTGCTGGATTCAGAACAAATTCAGAATAATATCCGTCCCCGCCACTCTGATTGGCTGCTGATCGTCGATGAGGGCGTGGTTTGACGTAACACTCGCGGCGAGCCACGCCCACACCGCACTTGACCACAAATATGCAGGTGCTACTACTTACAAATGATTTCACTCAGAATGTACTAATTTTAATAAATGTTCATTGTAATTGCTGTAAACAGCTTCCCAGGGGTTGTTTTTATAAAAATAAAATATTTTTTTTGTAGTTGATGTTCTATGAAAATCACTTAAATATATAGGCGACGTTTACCATTTATTTTGGAAAAGTCTTAATGCATATATTTATAAAAATTTACAACTTAAAAATTTAATTTTAAGTATATGCCTATGAAACTGTTTTAATAACATTACATACATTATATATATATATATAGGGGGGGGGGGGGGGGGGGGGCCTGAGAGACCTACAAAAGCTGCCCAGATCCGAGAGAGACCATCAGCATTGGCGCTCGCGGCTCCAGCCCGATGACGCCCCACGAAGTGGAACTCCTGGAGCTCGAGGAACCATCGAATCACCCTGGCATTGGTGTCCTTAGCACGGGCCATCCACTGAAGGGGTGCGTGGTCTGTAACCAGGGTGAACTTCCGGCCAAGGAGTAGTAGCGCATCATATTATTTTGCTTTATCTTGTTCAGACATTCACAGAACATCTGAGATAGAAATATGAAAAATATAGTCTTAACCACTGCAATGTTGATCATATTACACTTTTAGCAAATTATTAAACATGATTAGTATCCGTACTTAGCATCAGGGAAGGCTTGAACTTGAGGATAGTCATTCGTAACAGGTCAAAACAACAGACAGTGGCTCTCAGTATTTGTGTGTTTGTACAAGTAACCTGAAGGTGTGAGTGACAACAGCAGCTGTTCTTACATCTCAAACCATCATGTGTCCAGAATAAACACCCACTGTTTACACTGTCCAATTACATGACCTCAGTGTCCAGGAATATACAGAGACTAAGCACACCAAGAATAGCATTAAAATACCTTATATTCAGTTAAGATCAAATTTGAGATTTTTTTCCCTAAAGGCATCATAACAGTTTCATTTAACACATTTCACTTGGATGCCCATATTTAAAATCTCCTAAAGGATCCTGATTCTAAATTAAACTTGAAATGACAGGCCAGCAGAAGCGGAGCACCCAGTCTCCTCCTCAAACCTTCAAAAGGTTGGACATCATGAATATTCAAGCCAGGGTTATTACAGATCATTAAAAGCAAAAGCATAAAAACGTAT